CAGGCCTAACGCTCGGTCAGAGCATTAGTCTGGGCAGGGCAGAACGGAGATCGCGGGGAGCTGGGGGGGTCACCTGCCCAGGCTTAACGCCTTGCCAGAGGCGTTAGGCCTGGGCAGGGGCGGAACCAGCCATGGCGGGGAGCAGGGGTGGAGTCACTGATCGTGAGCAGCTGGGGGTCCCCTGCCCAGGCCTAATGCCTTGCCAGAGGCATTAGGCCTGGGCAGGGGCGGTGCCAGCGATCACCGGTAGCAGGGGCAGAGTTGGCAATGGTGGGAGCTTGGGGTCCCCTGCCCAGGCCTAATGCCTTGGCCACAGGCGTTAGGCCTGGGAAGGGGTGGAGCAGGAGATCCCAGAGAGCTGTGGATCCCCTGCCCAGGCCTAATGCCTCAGTGAGAGGCATTAGGGCGGAGCGGGCAATCCCAGGGAGCAGGGGCCGAGTTGGCAATGGTGGGGAGCTGGGGGTCCCTTGCCCAGGCCTAATGCCTTGGCCAGAGGTGTTAGGCCTGAACATGGGCAGAGCCAGCGATCGTGAGCAGGGGCGGAGTGGGCGATCGTAAGGAGCTGGGGGTCCCCTGCCCAGGACTAATGCCTTGGTCAGAGGCATTAGGCCTGGGCAGGGGTGGAGCCTGAAATCACGGGGAGCTGGGGGTCCCCTGCCCAGGCCTAACGCCTTGGTCAGAGGCATTAGGTCTAGGCAGAGTGGGAGATCGCGGGGAACTGGGGGTCCCCTGCCCAGGCCGAATGCCTCCACCAGAGGCCTTAGGTCTGGGCAGGGGCGGTGCCAGAGATCGTGGGTAGCAGGGGCGGAGCCGGGGATGGTGGGAGCTGGGGGTCCCCTGCCAGAGGCGTTAGGCCTGGGCAGGGGCCAAGCCGGCAATTGGTGTGAACTACAGAGGAAACACCTTTTCTGACGGCTCATTGGCTTAGCTCCCTGTATGCCACTGGTAATATTCTTAGTAACTTGGGTAATAAGAATCCAAATAGGTGATCTAGGGTTTTTTACCACAATCCTGGAGAAAAAAAGGAAGGTCCGCTGCTGTAGGGCTAAGAAATGTCATATCCTACCCTAGCTGGTTTTGCTCAGTGGATAATGCCTCGGCCTGCCCACTGCTGGGTCTGGGTTCAATTCTGACCAAGGGCATGTACCTAGGTTGCAGGCTCCTCCCTGGCCTGGGCCCAGGTCAGGGCTCTTGCAGGAGGCAACCAATCAAAGTGTTCCTCTCACTTTGATGTTTCTCTCTGTCTTTCCCTTTCTCTTCCACATTCTCTAAAAATCAATGGAAACATATCCTCAGGTGAGGAGGAAAGAGAGAGAGAGAGAGAGAGAGAGAGAGAGAGAGAGAGAGAGAGAGAGGAGGGGAGGGAGGGAGGAGGGAGGGAGGGAGGGAGGGAGGGAGGGAGGGAGGAAGGAAGGAAGGAAGGAAGGAAGGAAGGAAGGAAGGAAGGAAGGAGAAAGAAAGAAAGAAAGAAAGAGGGAGGAAGGAAGGAAGGAAGGAAGGAAGAAAGAGAAAGAAAGAAAGAAAGAAAGGAAGGAAGGAAGGAAGGAAGGAAGGAAGGAAGGAAGGAAGGAAGGAAGGAAGGAAGATAGATAGATATATCTCTGTGAGGGGTAACAGAGTAGTAGGTAAAAAACTAATCAATCATAATCTCTATCCATCTTAAAAATGAGGCGACCTAAGTATATTTATTCTCATTGAATTGTACACTTAAATTGGTTAACATTTTATATTTTGTTACAATAAAAAAATATATATTTTATTAAATAAAATTTAAAAATGAGGCAACTATCACTTCAAATTCTTACCTTTCCCTTCTTTTCTCTTGGCAAACCTTCACAGTCCTTGACCTCATGTCCAAACTGATTACAAAGACCACAGGGTTTGGGTTTGTTTGGTTTGAATTCTTCTCTAATAATGGTAAAGTTGGGTTCGTGTGTAGCAAGGCCGAGCATGATGAGATCAGCTATCAATAACAACAAAAAACTAAACAGTGAGCACTTTGAGAAGATCCATACCATTATAAAAAGGCACAGGACATCATCAAAAAAATAAGACACCAGCACAAAGCAAAGTCCAAAGGGGCACACAAATAAATGGCAAAGCCAAAAAGCCTAACACTTCCTAGCAGTCCTCAGCCAACAAGATGTCCTCCAGATACACATGGGCCTAGAATTCAGAATACCACTCACAGTCAACACTTGGAAATTTTCCATTTTAAAGTTATGTGCAGCAATATTAAAGGTTTTGATGTAAAATATAAACATAGGTAAATTAATTACAGATTAAACAACTCAAAACTAATTCCCTCTCAAACATAAAATAAGCAAGGCATTTTAGAATTTCTAGGCACCAATGAGTAATCAACTATTATACACCAACCCATCAAGTTGCTATGGTTTAATCCAAGAGAGTCAAATCCCAAAAAGGAAACTTACCATCTGCTCCACATAGGCAATGATGAGTGTTTGGGTCATGGTTAGGCTGGGCTAAAGAGGGGAAAACATATATTTATATAAATATATTTTATACCAGAGAAATGTCGTATTTTACCAAATGCTTTTCATATAATGGCTTATCTTTCTTTCTAATAAAACATATAACAAAATATTTATAAATCAGTTTTACCTCTTTGTCTTCTAATGTAATCCATGATTTTATGTTCTCCTTCACCAGGAGCACTAGCATCTGATAAAATAACCTGTAAAATAGTTAACACTTTCAGTTCATCCCTAATTTTCTAGGACAAAAATTAACCAAATTGAGTATCTTGAAAATAAATGGAAATAATTCATAAGATAGCATATTAATTGGAAAATTTTCTTAATAAAATGTGTGTGTGTGTGTGTGTGTAAACATCCAAACTATTTCACTGATTACCTTATTACATGAAATAGCAAAAATGAAAATTTTGGGTCAAACTCAGTCATTAGAAAATCTGATCAGTTCTTAAGTTTTTACTACTCTCACCACTATCCAAAGACATAGCTCTGAACCATGTAAGTCCAAGGAGTAATCAATAAAAGATATCTATTAAATACAATTTGCCATATCTAATTTAATAGGGGGTGGGGGGCTTGTAAATCTGAAATTCCATAAAAACTCATTTATATTTTACTTAAATACGTAAAAGAGCACAGACATTATTATTATTATTTCCTTTTTTTATTTTTTGGTTAATCCTCACTTGAGGATATTTTTCCATTGATCTTTTAAAGAGAGTGGAAGAAAGAAGGAAAGAGAAAGAAACATCGATGTGAGAGAAACACATCGTTTGGTTACCTCTTGCACCCACCTCGACCAGGGCCTGGGCTGGGGAGGAGCCTGCAACCAAGGTACATGCCATTGACTGGAATCGAACCCGGACCCTTTGGTCTGCAGGCCAACACTCTATACACTGAACCAAACTGGCTAGGGCGACTACAGACATTATTTAAAGGCAGAGCCCACAACTTTAATCCTTGATGTAATTGTATTCTTTATTTTTAATTGATTTTTAAAGAGAGGAAGGGAAAGAGGGAGAGAGAGGGAAAGAGCAAGAGAGAGAGAGAGTGAGAGAGAAACATTGATGTGAGAGAAACATGGATTGGTTGCTTCCTGCATGCACCTAGATTGGGGATCAAATCTGCAACCTGGGCATGTGCCCTGAGCAGGAATCAAATTGGCAACTTTTCGGTGCATGGGACAGGTCTCAACTAACTGAGCCACACTGGCGAGGCCATAATTTGATTTTAATTCAAGAAATTTTCATTTAAAAATTACTTTCATGTATACACACACACACACACACACACATTTTTAAAATCATAAATCCCATTTTATGGCTTCATAGTGATAAGAGGAGGACAAAATTGACATTGAGAGAAAATTCAACTTTTTAAAACTGGGCCATGAAAGGCATCCCATTTCCAATAACCCTGAAAACTTCTTTCCTCGGACAGTCAACTAGCATTTGTTGGGGGTGGGAGGACAAATAACATCAATCATACCAAAGTACAGCCTCAAATAATCACCCTAATCTTTCTAAAGAACCAAAATATGAAACTTACTGTCAAATTTTTCCACCCAGGGTCATTATTTAAACGATCAGCTATGTAATAGCGAAGACATTTAGCAAGATTGTCCATGAATTCAGTTCCCTAAAATGATAGAAGAAAATAAATTAACTGATCACTTAAGAGTCAGCAATAGCTAGCAAAGTATGCGATTACTTACTGGTGTAATACAGTTGCTATCAAATCTTTCTTTTATTTCCTCTGGAGGAAGAAAGCCACCTAAAGAAAAAGAGGCAATGTTTTGTTCTCCCCATAAAAAGTGAGGTAAATTACTCAATATTAAGCCAGAACAACAATAGCAAAAAGTTCAAAAACAAAAGAAAGAGAAGTATTGTCACCTGAGGAACAATGTTTTCCCTTTGGGGAAGAAAATAAGATTCCTCCCCCAAATTTAAATTAAGCTTAACATGACTGTCAAACAATATATAGTACACAAAAGATACTATGTTGTTATATAAAAATATTAAAATGCTGACGTTCTTTCTAATGACCTCTGTAACAGCTCTCTCTCTCACATACTCACACACATGGGGTTTGGAGTTTTAATTCTGATATATTCTTTAAATAAAGGTGCCTTAGTAAAACAAATTAAAATGCTGATTTTATCACAGCGTTATATAAGAAATAAAATTGTCAACTAGACATTAAAAAAATCCTATTTTTCCTCTATATCACTGATTAGCTTCTTCATAATATCTTCAAGAAAGGAGACATGTCTAAAATCAAAGACAATCTGTTACAAATACAAACAAGTTTTAGAGTATTAATTACAAGCTGCAGCCAAATAAATATATACCTGTATATTTCCAGCAAATCAAAATAACGTAAAAATTTATCATAGCTACAGGCCTGAGCTGACTACACTACAATATTTATTTTTTTAACTGCCAAGTACACTCTCTCCAGCCAATAAATTATGGTTTTCCTGGTCTAGCATACTGCCTTATGTAACAAAATAACAAATGATCCTGCTACAACACTCCCCATCTCATACACAGGTGTCTTGGGAGAGAACCAGTCCCAGTGGACATCAGCACTCCTGATCTTCCTCCTCTCTGAGACTTAGTCAACTCCTACCTATATTCCCATCAGGAATGTCAAGTCTTTGGGGAACTACAAAGATGACTGTCCTCCATTCTACTCACCCCTCATATGGGAAAACCCTGGGTACCTCATTGCCTCAGCATCTGGTAATCAATCTATATTGAAAGTGTTTCTCCCAGGCTTCCTCATATAGACCTCTGAGTTCTTAAGAGAAGCAATAAGCAGGCCACCAAGACTGATGAGGCAAATATTTCCAGAAATGTAGCTTTCTAACAATCCCCAGAGGAAAAAGAAACACTCTTAATTTATTTCTATTTTACAGATGTATAAAAGTTAGCTGAAGCCTGGCCAATGTGGCTGTTGGTTGAATGTCGTTCCATACACCGGAGGTCGCCAGTCCGATTCCTAGTCAGGGCACATGCCCAGTTTGTGGGCTCAATTCCCAGTAGGAAGAGTGCAGGAGGCAGCCGATTGATGTTTCTCTCATCAGGGTTTCTCTCTCTCTCTCTCTCTCTCTCCCTCCCTCCCTCCCTCCGTCCCTCCCTCCCTCCTTCCTCTCTCTGAAATCAATAAAAACATGTATTTTTTAAAAAGTTAGCTGAAGAGCTGTATGTGTCCTGAAAGGCAATGAAATCAGAATTCCCTCCTTTTATTTCCAAGTTTCCCTTTGACTATAGTGTGGAAATGAACAAGCTTATTAATGGGAATAAAGGGTTCCATGTACTACTTTTCTTCAACAGTGAACATAAATCTTCCTTGCATATCCTGGGATCCTAATTAAATTAAAGCTCTGCCTACTCATAAGAAAACGCTGTCACTCCATCCCCTTCTCCATACATCTTATAAAAATCCAACTTCAAGGAGCATATTCTTTACCTTTTGCCAGTATTTCTTCCCTGACTCGTTGCTTCTCTACTGCTGCTTCCATTCCTTCTTTGGATGCTCTGAACCTCCTAGAACGCTGTTGATTCATTTTAGCACGTGGTGCCTGAAAAAATGTATTTTCATATTCAAATAATACCATTCAAAATATTCACAACTAAATCTACATTATTTTGAATCAGTTGTTTTTGTAAAAATAGTACACTAAGATGGAAAAGATAATATGTCTAACAATCCTACCTAATAAAGAGGGAAGATGCTAATTGACTCTCACACTGTTGCAAAGATGGCAGTGCCCACAGCCAATAAGGAGGGAATATGCTAATTGACTGCCATGCCCTCAAAGATAGTGACACCCACAGCCACAAGACGGAGTCCCCCAGTCCCCTCAGCCCTGCAGCCACCCAGGGCCGGCCCGAGGCTCAGGTAACCAGGGCCGACCGAGGCTTGCGCTGCTGGCAGTGGCAGCAGCAGAGGTGTGATGGGGGTGTTGCCTTCCCCTGATCGCCAGGTCGCCTCTCACCCGAGGGCTCCCGGACTATGAGAGGGGACAGGCTGGGCTGAGGGACACCCCCCTCCAGTGCATGAATTTTCATGCACCGGGCCTCTAATCCTTCCATAACAGACAATAGACCCTGAGAACTTAAAGTTGGACCAAAAACCGAAAAGCTGAGCTCAAATAGATAAACATCCTATGAAGCCATAGCACTTAACACTCACAACAGGACCCACAACCTAACATCAGTTTCACTGGGTTATGGTTTCTCCACAAGGAAAGCTCATTTTACTCAAAGACCCAGTCAGCAAACAAAGATAGTTTCTACAGAAGCAAAATCAGGAAGACCTTCCCTATGTCCAAGCCTAAAAAGGATGGTCTCCAAATGGGATTCACAACACCCCATAAGAGCAATAGAAGAAAAAGAAAAAGAAAAAAGAAAGAAAACTACTTCTTGGGTCTCTAAGACCCCATGGCACTTCTACTTTGTATTTCCCAGAATGAGGTTCACAACGACTACTCTATCTACAGTAAGGTACAACAGTTAAAAAGGGAACAAGGTTTTAATCAAATGCAATTTAAATCACCAAATAAGCTTGAATGAAGTGAGCTGGAATGTAAGGTTTTAAATTACTAAACTGAGTTCTGGGGTTGGGACTCTGAAGTATCCTGTCCACATCTAAAATAAGTTTTTTTATATTCTCTTTAAATAATTCCCATTTCTGTAAAATGAGATCACCTAATTTCTTTCAAGTACCAAGTTCTATGATCTACATGTACCAAAAAACATCCTGCAGATATGTGCATGCACATACACATACAAATGGCCACATGTTTTATACTTGATGTAGCAGTAAGGGCACACTAAAGTTAAAAATTTTCTTCAAGAAATTTAGCTGAATATGAATTGAAATATGCTCCAAATAAGACATATTCTTGTTCCCTTTATTCTTTACTCCACTTTAACTGTAACTTAACAAGATATCAGGCAGCTAAGATTTTTCACTGAGTAAATAGAACTTCACAGAGCTTTCTGGATTTTCAAAATCATTGCATTATAGCCACTAGGATTACTAAATATAAAAGAAAGAAAATCTATTTGCTCCTAGCTAAACAAATTTAGGGTAATGATTTACCTTAATTTTTCTTGAACCCTGCTATGTAGTTTGCTAGTCATTTATAACCTAAGCTACTTGGTATTATTATTAAGTTATTCCTCTCTTAAGTCATTTTAATAGCTACTTGCTGCCTATAGGATAAAATCCAAACTTCTGAATGTGGCAGGCAAGTTGAACTCAAGTCATTTGCTCTACTTCCCTTTCCAATCTAAAACACCTGCAGTCACCCATAAGTGTCAGTATGGTCAATAGCATGGAAGTGTGTTTACCTAGCACATCTGAGAAATCTGGAAGGTCCTCCTCCCCCATATCTGTCCAATCCATTCACCTCTACTGCCCACCAATATCCAATTATACTTTGCTCCTCAAGAAATGGGACAGAAGTCACCTCCTCTCTATCTCCTAACTTCCTGAGTAGCAATGACTCTCTCTTCCCTCAATACCCTGCATATGTTATTTAGTGCCTATAAAGCTCATTAACTAACCTCACTCATTTACTTATGTGTCTGTCCCGTTAGTGGAAAGCCCTTCAAAAGCAAAGGCAGTCATCAATATCCCCAGCAACTCACAGTACCTGGCACAAAACAGGCACAAAAAATGTGTGAATGAATGATTGAAGGATGAGACTTTACATTGGGAACACAACAAAAGCAAAAATGAAGGAATCTAAGTTAATTTTTTTAGTACTCACCACTCCATCTATTGCCATGTAGAGAAGTCGTCGTGGTCTTACAATATTGAAAAGTCTGTCAATGTACTCAAAAATTGCAACCATCATTTCATCTTCGTTTTTTGGTGCTGGTCTATAATAACAAGCAAACAATGTAATATAATACAGTACTCCTCTGTAACTTGTGATATCAGTGACAAAAATGGGTTACGTACTTGTCTTCAGGATGAGTACAGGGATGGATGATTCCATTCATGTCCAAATACAGATTATCAAACTCCACATCATTTGGATTAGGTTTACTGGCATCAACAGGAACCTTTACACCATTGCATTCTTTGGGCTATGAGGAAGTGATAATAGTAGTTTGTTTAAGACTAAATCAATACATCCTAGGCTCAGTATGAACCTGTTTCACTTCTGAATTAGATTATAAAATAAGTTCTTTTACTCCCTAGAACAGTGATGGTGAACCTTTTGAGCTCAGCGTGTCAGCATTTTGAAAAACCCTAACTTAACTCTGGTGCCGTGTCACATATAGAATTTTTTTGATATTTGCAACCATAGTAAAACAAAGATTTATATTTTTGATATTTATTTTATATATTTAAATGCCATTTAACAAAGAAAAATCAACCAAAAAAATGAGTTCGTGCACCCCTGATACGCGTGTCATAGGTTCGCCATCACTGCCCTAGAACAAACTGAAGCAGATATTTCATCTATAGGAAATGATAGCTTCCAACACAACCAATTAATCTTAATTATGTGGGGGATACTGGTCAAATTCTCAACTCATTCAGTTGTCCAAGTGAGAAACCAGGGGAATCATCTTGGAAGTCTTTTTCCTCACCATCCATTATCTCTAAATCCTGTCAATTTAATTTGAAAAATGCCTATCTATCTCCTGTCATTCCTACTACCATTACCAACATCAGCTAAAAGATCAGAACAGCCCTAGCTGGTTTGGCTCAGTGGACAGAGCGTCGGCCTGCGGACTGAAGGGTCCCAGGTTCAATTCCGGCCAAGGGCACATGCCTGGGTTGCAGGCTCGATCCCCAGGAGGGGGCGTGCAGGAGGCAGCTGATCAATGATTCTCTCTCATCACTGATGTTCCTAACTCTCTATCCCTCCCCCCTCCTCTCTAAAAGCAATAAAAATATATTAAAAATAAAATAATACTTTAAAGCCACTGAAATCCAGTGAGTTATCTCTGTTACAGAATTTGCCAAGGAAAATGCCTTGGGTAGTAATAATTGGCTTTAAAGTCTCAAAAAAAAAAAAGATCAGAACAGTTTTTGTATGAACTGCTCCACCACTAGACTCTCCTATCTCCAGCCCACTCTTCTCTACTGTCAGTTTTCTTTCTAAAATCCAAATGTGGCTATCTTAATCTTGCCTAATTATTCCAATGATTCCCGTAGCAGGAGCACACCAATGAGCCTGGACCCTTACTACTATCCTATCTTACCACAACATCAATCTGGCCCACCTTCTCTCTCTTCTAAGTTCCTGGAAAATGCTCTTTCACCTCTCAATGCCTTTGCACACTGCTTCTCCTTCTTCCTCCCTGCCAACACCCACTTCCTAAAATCTTATTAATTTTCCAGGGTCTAGACCAGTGGTTCTCAACCTTCTGGCCCTTTAAATACAGTTCCTCATGTTGTGACCCAACCATAAAATTATTTTCGTTGCTACTTCATAACTGTAATGTTGCTGCTGTTATGAATCGCAATGTAAATATCTGATATGCAGGATGGTCTTAGGCAACCCCTATGAAAGGGTCGTTGGACTGCCAAAGGGGTCGCGACCCACAGGTTGAGAACCGCTGGTCTAGACTGAGATCAAATGGCACTCACCTTGTAACACTTTGTATATTTCTTCCCCAAAACTAACTGCTCCTCCTCCTGCAGTTCCTCATTATTGTTAATTCCCTTATAGCACTCCCATGGTTTTATAGTTAATCTGTCATTCTAATCCAACCACACTGAGTTCTTCAAAAGGTAAGGACTGTGCCTTATTTACTACTAGAGGCACTGATATATTTTTGTAATGAACATTTCCTTTGTCCTTTTCTTCCAGAGATTCAGCAAATGGTAAGAATATGAGATCAGACTTTTACTGTTACTAATAGAAATCATGTAAAACAATAAGTTTTCCCTTACATATAAAGCATCATTTGTAATAGCAAAAAGAAAAAATGTGAACAATTTAAAAGCTCATCATATACATACTACATCCCGGATAGACCTCAGAAACACCCTGCCAAGTAAACGCTAGGCAAAAACTCCCATAAAAGATCCCATTTATGTAGTCCAGAAAACAAATCCAGAAACAAATAGACTGACTTCAATCTGAGGGCAAGGGAGGGGTGAGGGTGATAGGAAGTGACTGCAAATGGGTACATTTCTTTTGGAAGTGAAAAAAATGTTCTAAAATTAAATAATAGCAATTGTGTTCAACTCTCTATATACTAAAAAAACCCCACTGAATTTGATATTTTAAATAGGTGAACTTTATGATATATACATTATATCTCAATAAAGCTGCTGAAAAAATAAGGTCAACTTAATTAGCAAAAAAAGTATTAATAAACTTTAGTTGATAATCACAACTATACTGCTGAGCCAAAAAAGCAAGTTCCAGAAAAAAATAGATAGTATATCAAGTATAGAAAGTATAAAATAGACAAAACAGTATTAGCTATTGTTCAGGGATGACTACATAAGCAATGTAAGCACAGAGAAAAGCAAGGAATGAACACCAATGTCAGAACAATGGTTATCTTTGAGAAGGATACAAGTAAGACTGGACTTCAATTTATATTTATAATTGGAAATAAAAGATATGAAAAAAGGATTTAAAGGCAGTCCAGGGAAGAAGCTACCAGACAGTATTCTACACATACATGTTGTGAATCACAAAAAAGGGGTCTTGATCTGAAGCAGTGAATGGAAGTATATGGTTGTCTAACCACTATGCTATACAGGGGAAACTAATACAAAATAACACTGAATATGAACTATAATTAAAAAATAAAACTTAAAGTGGAAAAAAAGAGGAAGCAGTGAATAGGATAGGTGGTAAGGAAAGCAGGTCAATTTTGGTGGAGGGGGGCATCTATCGAAGAAGATAATCTGATGACCCCCAAACAAAAACAAAGTCTACAAAGGTAGGAGGCTCTCTACCTCTTCATCTACTGTCTATACTCCAAACTCCACATTTTCCTTTTCCCTACACCAGAGACTACACTTAGAAGAATGGAGACCCACTTTCTTTATGCTCCCCAGCAAGCCAGTTAACAAATATTTTAGACTTGCTGGCCATGTGATTTCAACTCATACCTGCCTTTGTAGACTGAAAGCAGCCATAAGTAATATGGATATAAATGGGTATGGCTGTATTCCAATAAGCTTTGTTTATAAAAATAGGAGGTCATTGACTTGCTAACTAACCTCTGCCCTAATGCCTGGTGCAGCACTAGGCATATTACAGTTCTTCAATGAATGCCGAGTGTAGCTGTACGAGAACTTCTACTTGTACTAAGTAGAAAGTATAATATACAGAAGAGGGCAAGGTGGGTCCTAATTAAAAAAAAACAAAAAACAACAACAACAAAAAAACCAAACAGCTCCAGGCATTCCCAGTAAGAAAGCTACACATATTTTCCTTTCATAAGTACTATAAATACATTCAATACATTAATTATGTAAATCTAGAAATTCTTTCTTTAAGAGAAGATTTTGATGCTCAACAAAGAAACTCACTCAAGAGCCCAGTTAAAAACAATGCCAGTGTGTCTGGGTTAAGGAGAGATCTTTAATCAATCAAAGGGCAGCTAAAAGGAAAGCCATTCTGAACCCTAATACCAATTAATTTCAAATAACTTTTTCATTATCTTTTGGGTTTTCCAAATGATAAAGTGAGCACATACTGCAGTTTTCTCTTTCTACCCCAAGACCACAAAACTGAACAAACCAACACACACCCGCAACTGTGTAAATTTGCTAGAAAACCAGAACCTCTGTGGCTTGAAATGTGGAAAACTAGTAAATCTGACAAGATGGAGCACAGCCTACAACAGTGATAGTGAACCTTTTGAGCTCGGCGTGTCAGCATTTTGAAAAACCCTAACTTAACTCTGGTGCCGTGTCACATATAGAAATTTTTTGATATTTGCAACCATAGTAAAACAAAGACTTATATTTTTGATATTTATTTTATATATTTAAATGCCATTTAACAAAGAAAAATCAACCAAAAAAATGAGTTCGTGTGTCACCTCTGACATACGTGTCATAGGTTCGCCATCACTGGCCTAAAACATGCAGAGAGGAGCTCTGCGGCCAAGAAATGGGAGGCTCAGGCAGGGGGCTCAAGAGACAGCCTCTGGATGATCCATCAGCACCAGCAGCAGGAACAGCCAGGTGGACCATCTCTGCACTCTCCTCTCCGGCTCCACGTGGACAAGGCAACTTGAGACAGGTATTCCCAAAGAGCATGAGTGCTTGAGAATGAAGGGCCATGAAGTACCCTGGCTGACTAGCAGCTTCTCAGAGGAACAGGGAGCATGCCTACCCAGAAGGCTGGCAGTCAAGGTAGTTCTGTCCAGTAGGAAGCCCAATCCTCCTCCACTTCATGGAAAAAGGAGGGATATATGTATTCCAAATAGGCAGCTGGGAAATTTCCTATTTGTGCAAAAAAATACCAAGGAATCAAGACAAAGAAGGTACTTAAAGAAGTAAAGATGGTTCAAATATATAAATAGTCTGAACTGGAAAAACAAAAAACTCCACAGGTTCTTAAGTACCGTATTTTTCCACGTATAAGACACCCCCCACTTTTCCAACCCAAAATTAAGAAATCAATATTTTAAACATTTTGCTGGTTTTCCTCTTAAGGCTTCTTCTTTTTTGGCATCTTAAAGAATTGTTCTTCCTGTTTTCTTCACTGTCAGATCATACACTAAGTGGGAAGAGGTCCAAATTGTCTCTCTGCAGCTCTAGTTCCATGCTCTTTTGCATAGCTGATTACATTCAGTTTGAATTTTGCAGAGTATGACAATTGCTTACCGGTATTTACCTTTTTATTTTTTGACATCTTTATGGGCTCAGAACGCTCTGGTCCCTGTTGCATCTGTGCACTCTCCACCTCCACCTCTAATTAAGGCATCAGCTGACCTTAGTAACAATAAGGCTCGTGATTGGAGGAAGCCTGTTTGACAAGGTATGCTATGCACAAACAAGGACCCCTCCTGGGCTGACCGCTGTATATAAGACACCCCTTGATTTTCAGTCTAACAATTCTATAAAAAAAAATAGCGTCTTATACACGGAAAAATAT